AGAGGAAAAGGGAAGAAGGGAAGAGGGGAAGACAGAGTTAAGTGGGGTGAGAGGAGGAATTTAAGAGAGAGGAAATGATTGAGAAGATAAACGGAGAGATAGAACGGAGAATGATAAAAAGAAGGGGAGAGGGGAGAGGTAGTGAGGAATAACGAAAATTGAAGAGAATGGATGAAAGATAAAATGTAAAGAGAGAGAGAGAGAGAGAGAGAGAGAGAAGAGAGAGAGAGAGAGAGAGAGAGAGAGGAGAGAGAGAGAGAGAGAGAGAGAGAGAGAGAGAGAGAGAGAGAGAGAGAGAGAGAGAGAGAGAGAGAGAGAGAGAGAGAGAGAGAGAGAGAGAGAGAGAGAGAGAGAGAGAGAGAGAGGAGAGAGAGAGAGAGAGAGAGAGAGAGGAGAGAGAGAGAGAGAGAGGAGGAGAGAGAGAGAGAGAGAGAGTAGAGAGAGAGAGAGAGAGGTAGAGAGAGAGAGAGAGAGAGAGAGAGAGAGAGAGAGAGAGAGAGAGAGAGAGAGAGAGAGAGAGAGAGGAGAGAGAGAGAGAGAGGAGAGAGAGAGAGAGAGAGAGAGAGAGAGAGAGAGGGTAGGTAGGAGAGAGAGAGAGAGAAGAGAGAGAGAGAGGCAGGAGAGGGAGGAGAGAGAGAGAGAGAGAGAGAGAGAGAGAGAGAGAGAGCTTACGTACCTCATGATCAGAACATAACCACCGGGCAGTCTGCTGATTTCACTCAACTACGGGCACGGGCTGTCCGCTGGTTTGCCCGTCAAAGTTGCCATAAAGTGTGCGATGACGGACTCATCACTCGTGTCCGACGGTCACTGTCCGATAGTGTGGACAGGGTTTTAGTGTCGCATCACCCAGAGGATGGTTTGAGGGTGGAAGGAGCTATTTTTGTAATAAAATGTATACCATTGCATTTTATGATGTGATATGTATTATTTTTATTGTTTATTATAGCAGTTTTGTTAATTTTTGGCAAATAGAAAATACAGAATAATGAAGGATTGGAACCTATGCCTATTTACTCCATGTTAAATCTACTCCAACGACGAAGTTTCCGACAATGAAGTGGATTTCACGGATCACACCCACTTCGTTGCTGATGAACCCTTCCCCGAAGAAAAGACTGACCCAAATCCTATTTTTTTTAAAGAATCTATCAAAATTAATTAAATTCACAATAATAAAACAGGTAAATATGCTCATTTGAAAATCAATGAACAAGATTATATCTAACCATCATTAAGGTATCATCTTATTCCTGTCCAATTAGCTCACACTTCACACCAAGGCTACTGCTCCCCCATTTATCCAGGCCAATTAGCCATTTTGATATTTCAGTTCCCAGTTTCTAACCATGAACCTTAAGTCTTATTACACATTACTTTTAGAAATTTGGATTTAAAGATCATTTTCTAAATTTCATCATACATCCTTTAACCAAATAACTAGATAAGCTTTAAGGATGAGACGACATACACCCCTATAGAAGTGTTGATCCATTTAGTATATGTATACATTGGCAGTCTAAATTAGAAGAACTATTCTCTATAACTCTCTCATCGTATAGTTTTTCAATTATCCTGGAACTCCTAGAAAAGAACCACCACAGTTGCCATCTCATCTTCCACATTAAAATACTGTAACCAAAGGCTTGTTTGTTCTATGTGTACCTGCTGAAAGTGACCCAGTTTCATCATGAAACCACATACATCTAAAGTATAGGAAGTAAAGAAATAGCCTTTTGACTGCTAACCTTTTGTTTATTGGAAGAAATGCCAAGATTCAATGGCTGTTGTCACAACTGTCATGTAGTTTTTCGTGTGCTTGCAATGTCTGTGGAAAGTGAAAGGCAGTTCTCCATATCAGGGACCTGATCACTTACTGGAGAACAAGACCGAAATCTAAAAATGTTGAAAAAATCAGTGATAATCTATAATTTATCATTGAGTAAAGAATGAGTGAGAAAATTGCACCTATAAGCAGAGAGGGTTACATTCCTGAATATCTCTTTGAAATTTATGCACGTTTTTGTAATATACAATTGGAGATACAATCTCTCTCTAAAATAATAATAAAAAAATTATCAAGAGCAAAACATACTTATTATAATCGTAAATGCTATTAGTTTTACCAAAAATTGGGCTGCATAGAGGAGAGATGTTGCTGATGATAAGCACTAGTGGAAAAACTTAGTGCATGCCACTTGATGGACTGCTGTGTGGCTGCACAGCTTAGAGGGAACATTGGTCTCTGGCCCAAACTTGGTGTGCACTTAATCACATCACCTAATGGTGGTCATTAACATTATAAAGCATTTTCTATATACATGACAGTATCGTGGGAGTATATTAAAACAATGGATAAAGAAGATGATGTATTTGTAAATATTAAAATCTCTTACTGTATAATGGGCCATATAAAATGGAATGCAAACAGTTTTATCTATTGGTTTATACTGTCCTTCCTTGCAGCTTCTCTTTTACTTCTGCTTCTTATCTTTATCACTCTTTTTCTTCTTCTTTTTCTCCTTTTTTCTTTTTTTAAGCTTAACGTCCCTCTCTGAATCGCTGTCTGAAGATTTTGATGTTCTTCCCTTATGGTGTTCCACATAAGGTGACCGAGATTTCCTCTTCCTAGGCTCAGCTGGTGATTGAGATCTGTCTCTGCTACTGCTTCTTGATCGCTTCTTTTCTTTCTTTTTAATTTTTTTCTTTTCCTTTTTCATTTTCTTCTCTTGTTTCATCTGTAAAATTAATAATAAAATGTACACTCATCATGAAGGATACAATTTTGTTTTCTACAAAATGGCATAAAACATTGGAAGGAAATAAATTAATTCCATCACTTAGGCTCAGAGGGGTTGACCTTGAGAGATGAGGAGATAGCACAGATGAGAACTGGGCCACTAAAATCTATGGCTTATAACATGTTCTCGTCAGGTTTTATATAGTACAGCAGGGTTGTATTTGTTTACATTCGACAGAAGGAAAATCACAATAGTAAACATACTATGGAATCAAAGTAAAACAATTTTAACACAAATATCTCAATGTAATGATTTGCTGAATGTTTATCTGACGAATCCCTATAAACACACTAGTGAAGGGGACTGTACACGCTACTTTGCCGCAGAATACGTAAGGCAGATCCTCCTACACACTGTGGCCTCATCACAATGCTGAATTTTCCTCACAAAACTTACCCTCTACCTTACCAGCAGTAGTGAATGAATTTAGGAGGCCTTACATCTGAAGGTCACTTAAAACTCAGCTACTTTAATCATACACAAAATCTAATATACCACCAATATTCTGATAAAGTCAAAGTTATATATCAATAACCGGTACATTATATTTCAATTACCTCAATCTGCACACTAGCCCTTGATACCTGTAATAATTTTTATGTCAAAATCAAGAAATAATCATGGAAAACCCATTTTATGAACATTTAAGATAACCCAGGTTACCCTAACACAGTGAAAGCTGGCACTAAGTAAACAATTAGTACAACTCCTCCAATCACAACACAAACCCCTAGTGAGGAGTCTCAGAGATGAAAGACACAATTCAAGGTGTTAGTGATACAACTCCTTGTCCTCTGAAACAAGGCATCAGTATGTTCAGAATGGGAACTTACATCCATCCTTCAGAGGACATGAGAAAACATTACAGTTATCCGCCATTAAGCGATTGTTCACTTAGCGATAATTCGGTTTAACGATTTAAAATTTCTTACACCTTTGGTTATTTAAAAATCTGCAACTGTTCGGTTTAGTGATCTTCAACTCACTGGGAAAATTATTTTCAAGGCCAACACTAAACCACTTGGAAAGGGAACCGCTTTATTATTATATACTGTATATGAATGAACAAACCTGAATTTTATAAATGATTTTTTAAATCATTATCTAGCTTTTCCAGCAAAATATTTAAATTAATATTTTGGTAACCAAATGGGTACATACCTAGGTTTATTATATAGAAATCACGTATTGTAGGGATATGGCACCGGTATGCCACCTATGAACCCAGGCTGTTATTACACTAGTGTTTACCCTGCCTTTGAACATTGCAATCTGTGCTTTGCTATATTCCTCTGCATATTATCGATCACTGTGCATCGTTCCTATTGCTGTGCATTGCTGTTATTGTTGTGACTTTGGTGTGTTATAGAGTACTGTACGGACTGTTCGTTACCCTGTGCTATTGTGTTCTAAAGTGATTGCTCCTCTCTCCCCCTCCGCTCTTGTCGGCTAACAGGCGGATCAGGTAAGAAATGTTTACTGTATTCCCTTTATGTTTTTGACCAAATTAAAATAATTATTATTTTTATTTCATTTGCACATTCTGTATGAAAATGTGTGTATGTAACAAGAGTACAAGAAAATGTAGAATATAATGTATATTTACCCAAAATAACGAGTTGAAGAATAACATATCTCACAGCACACCCTCACCCACTCTGAGCACTACTGGGTGGCGAGTTGGCCAGGTGACTTTGCTATACAATTATGTGCTTTGCTTTCAGAAAACCCGTCTAGGAGAAGAAAAAAAATTGCTTAAGAGGTGGAACCTGCCATCATACCTGTCTCAGAATTTACCCATAAAAGCTGGAGATTTTAAACATTCAACTGCTTCCCCAAACCCTAAGGGTACAAAAAACAAATATGCAACAAAAGCCTGCCGTTGTAAACTTGGGAATGAATTTATGAGATAATGAATCTTCACAACCTTGTTGCACAAAATATGCTTCCATACCATATCTTCATTCTTAACAGATGACATGAAGGAAAGACCAGACAACACATCAGTCCCAACATTCCACTAATGTTCAGGTTACTATCTGAATTGGTTGACTTCTGGAATTGGCACGTGATTGTATGTAGAAGTCCGCATGTTTATTGGGCTAATGAAATATACATGGATCCTCGTGTTTCGAAGCCAGATTTGGTAAAACGTTACTCTGACCACCTACGTGATACGGGTAGTCCCCATTAGAGGTTCACGGCGCCATAAGCTCGTTGAACAGGATTTGTGTGAAATATAACAAAGTCTAGGACTGCTTTTAGTATCCTGGTGGTCCAGTGGTTAGCATTCCCCGGTCACAGTCATGGGCTGTGGGTTCGAATCCTGGCAGGTTGAGGTGTTGATTGTGTGTGTGTGTGTATATATATATATATATATATATATATATATATATATATATATATATATATATATATATATATATATATATATATATATTAAATATTTTGTACCAATATTACTTACTTCACAGTCAAATACAGTTGTACCCCACTTAACGCGGTCAATTGAACCCAGAGGGTCCCGCGTTAAGTGAAATCCGCGTTAAGTGAACAACAGAACATATGGGATTAATTCCAATAGAACCCAGCCCGACCCCCAAACTCCACTTTTTGACGACACATAACTATGTTGTAGTAAAAATTCTATCTTAACTTTATGATGGTATGAAAAACAAGTAATATAGAAGAGGTTAGGTTAGGAAAGATAAAGGTTAACATAGGAAAAATGAAGGTTACCTAAGAGAAACTAAAAGTTAGGTGGAACACTTACGGTAGTAGAAGAGATGGGTCGGCATACGGGGATGGAGGCTGGTTCCGAGGCAGAGGGCAGATTACTGGCCCTCAGGTGAATCACCATTACTAGGTGAATCAACATCACTGTCACTTACAGTTGTCAGGGCTTCCCTGACAAATCCCTCAAAGTCAACTTCACTTTCACTATCACTGGCTTGGGCTGGCTGTGGTGGGTTGCGGGCGAAGAACTCGGTTATGCTTTGCTGACGGCTGGTGTTGATGTTGTCGTGATACACCTTGATGTACGGCTCCATAGCCTGCACCAGTCGGGTATGGAAGACTTCATAGCGTTCATCGTCATTGTCGCGGGAAAGGACGGACTTAATTTTTTCTGTAAACTCTATGACACACTTAATATCACTATGACTTAAACTAGGTTCTTCGGAGAATGACGCACCTTCTTCCTCCTCTTCACTGGCGTGTTCTTCTTCCAACATCTCGTCGGCAGTCACTTCAGGATCTTTGATCACCTCCAGGATGTCTTCGTTGGTGGTCTCGGAGAAGCCTTCAGCTGTAATATTGAGCGCAGCTTCTCTGGCAAGGTCCACTGCTACTGCAACAGTCTGAACCTGACCAGTCACAGGTTCACTCCTCCTCTCACCTGGTATGCCATGCAACACATGTCTCCATGCGTGACGAATCGTAGCAATAGTCAGCAGATCCCATGCCTCCACCAAGAAGTCTACAGCTTGTTTAACGTTAAACTTCTTCCAAAATTGTTTGACGAGAAGTTCTTGAGTCGCCGCCTCTTGTTCCTTGTCCTCGTCGCTTTTGCTCTCGCTGTCGGTGTCACCCAGCTTACGCAACTCATCCTTGGTGTTGGTAGAGTCGTTCAGGAGCTTGAACTTCTTTGCAGAGTACGCAGCTTTCACATTGCAGATCAACTCCTGGTCCATGGGCTGGATTAATGACGTAGTGTTGGGAGGAAGGAAGACCACTTTTACGTTGGGGTGACGATCCATAAGTAGGGGCGAGTGTCCAGGTGCGTTGTCAAGGAGCAACAAAATATTGAATGGAACATTCTGTTGCTCGCAGAATTTCTGCACGTCAGGAACAAAACAGTTGTCAAACCAGAAGAGGGACAGAGAAGAGGACATCCACGCCTTACGTGCGGTTAGCCAGTGGACATTAAGCTTGTTCATGTCCATATTCTTGTAGGCGTGCGGCTTGCGGGCTTTGTGAATCACCGATAACTTTGGTTTACAGGTACCGGAGGCATTGGTGGTAAACAGGACGGTGATGCGTTCCTTCTGCAACTTCCGACCCCTTACCTTGCTGGCAGACTGGACAACGAAGGTCTTGGAAGGTAACTTTTTCCAGAAAAAACCAGATTCGTCCATGTTAAACACCTGGTCGTCACTGTACTGTCCTTCCTCCATAATCTCACGTAAAAACGGAGGAAAATCTCTAGCCGCCACACGGTCAGCACTCGCTTCCTCACCACCAATGTTGATGTTGGTGATCTTGTTCCTCTTCTTAAACCTATGCAGCCAACCAGAGGAAGCATTGAAGGGTTTGGGCTCTGCAATTCCCAGTTTACGTGTCACTGCTGCGTATAGCTCACGTGCGTACTCCTGCACTGAGCGCGTGTCCACCGCCATGTTGCGTCGCGCCTGACGCACCAAATAACTCACCAGCAAATTTTCCACTTTTGCCAGCACCCTGTTCTGGCAATACCTGATAGATGAAGCACCTGCAGACTTTGTGATTTTCATGTGCTCTTTGATCTTGGCTGCATCCTTCTTGATCGTACGAATCGTAGATTCGTTGACGCCATGCTGGCGCGCGAGATCAACTTGCCGTCTTCCTTTCTCCAAATCTTGAACAATTTGGTACTTCATCTCGTAGCTTAATGAACGTCGTGTCTTCTTTGGCTTAGTGCCGCTGGGTCCAGGTAAGGAAAGGTCTCTCTCTGGGGGCGGTGGTGGTCCGGCGGAAGCCATTTTAGGGAACAATGGATGCGCGTTAACCCGGGGTGGCCTTGAGGGATGAAACTGCCGCGGCTAGGTCAAGCGTCGTCTCTCCTCCCTCCCCCCCTCCCCGGGATGGTCACGTCATAATACTTTAAGCCAATTACAGCTAGCAGCAGAGGGGGGTAGGGATGCATGGCCAATCACAGTCCGATACGTCCTATGACGTCA